ATCCGACCCTGGCATCTATTGACCTTCGTAAATCTCCATTTTCTCCAATAATAAATTGACATCAAGTCTTGAAAATTATTCGAGAAGAATCTCGAATAATTTAGTTGCAGCGTGCCACATGGCTATCTAAACTGCAAACCCTACCCATTGCTGAGCAAGGCCTTTATCTTCTCCGACGAGCGGGATCATCAATCTGTATTAATCCCGATAACACTCGACCTCTGCCTGATCCAGAGGATGTCACCATTTTACCTTCACAGAGACATCGAACGCTGTAAGAAAATGACGATCAGACCTCGTTATATAGAATCAGTACCTGAAAATATTTCATATGAGATTTAAACCGATTGCCTTCATTTTACGTTTGGTCAGAGTTATCCAAGAGAGGACAGTTGATATTAACATTGTCAAAAAATGATGTAAGGAAGTCAACCTTTCTTGTCCTTATTTTGAAGAACTATACCTCTATTAGATTTCAATATTCTTTTAGAAATAAGTGGTAGATTATTGTCCACTGTCCAGCACATCAAACCTCAAGTTTAACAATGCTACCTTAAAGTCACAAAAAAGTGACAGAATTACCATTTTGTGCCTCAACAATATAAATTTAATGCAGAAAACTGGTATGGGCTACTATATTTCTTGTATTAATCAATTCCAACAATAATAAGGATATGGATGTGAACGAAAAATTATCAAACTTTCACAACAAATTATGTGGCGACATTAACAATGCATGCCCTATTTTGAAGATCACCATACCTCTATTAGAATTCAATATAACTTTTTCATCATACAAATTTCGACAAACTGGTTATCTTCCAGCAAGGAGCAAACAGAGTTATAATATTTTTTGTGACAAAATTAACCTATTTTTACCATGTAATAAGATGTTTCAATTATGACACTGTAAACGTATAACCACCACATAATAATTTATGTGACTGGTGCGTGGTTGTATTAGTGTTAATTGATTAAGCATTAACAGGAGGACTGTAAACTAAATATTTATTTTCAAAATCTTTCTTTTTCTTTTTAGTAAATTATATTAATATTATAAATCAAAACCTTATGATATTGTTATTATCTTAACAGTTACTGTTGCAAATTAAGATTTTAAATTTACATTCCTCGTATTCCTTGTATTCCTTGTATTCCAGTACGTAATATAGGGTGTTTAAGCTGGTATTTCAATATTTGCTCAATTTTGGTTTTAAAATCTTCAGACTTTATGCTGTTGCATTTAAGAAAATATATGAGGAATGTTTAGGGCACCCTGACAAGGAATTCTGAGTAGTGCAGTAGGATTACTTGATGATCTGGAAGTACTGGGAATTACGATAATATCATACAGTCGCACAAATAAGTTTACTTTGTCACAAAACTCTTGATGATATCTGTGAAAATTGAGCAAATATTGAGCAAATATTGAAATACCAGCTTAAACACCCTTTATTACGTACTGGAATACAAGGAATACAAGGAATACAAGGAATACAAGGAATACAAGGAATACAAGGAATACAAGGAATACAAGGAATACAAGGAATACAAGGAATACAATGAATACAAGGAATACAAGGAATACAAGGAATACAAGGAATGCAAGGAATACAAATTTAAAATTGTAAGTTACAGCAGTAACTGTTAAGATAATAACAATATCATAAGATTTTGATTTATAATACATTAATATTATTTACTAAAACATTATTTGCCTTACGGTATGATGAGTTATAGTTTTGTTCACTTTTACACATTTGCTCACATCACTCACAGTCAGCCGCTCTGACATGGTTAACCACCTTCCTTGTGTTGTTGGTTAATCATATGAGCGGGATATAAATAGCTCATTTCATTTCATATATTGTCTTAAATACAACAGCAAAAAGTCTGAAGATTTTACCATGTTCTACGACACTCAATGTGATGATCCGTAAAATAAGATATGGACTAATAACTCAACAATCTAAAGCATGTTGACTTTAAAACCATGCTCTACCCCACTTAATGTGATGATTTTGAACAATTTCATGTCCAAGATGAACATTTAGTATGAAATGTGTCAATTGCTACTCGCAAGAGCGTAAGAAGTTTTTGGGGTATTATAACTCAATAACCTGATGTCTGAGGATTTTTAAATAACACTCTACCCACTCAATGTGATAATTTAGAACACTTCAATGCCCAAGTTTAGCTCCTTACTCCTTACTCTAATCAGAAACTGAGTTATTTTGATTGTAAGTGCTGTTATTGTTACTCGCGAGAGCTCAAAAGGGTGTGGTCATATGACAGTAGTAACTCATTAACCTGAAGTCTGAGGAGTTAATTACGCTCTACTAAATATGATCATTTAATGCCCAAATTTAGCTCTTTTATACTCCAATCAGAAGCCGAGTTAATTTGATAAAAACTCAACAGCCTGATGCCCAAAATTAGTTCCTTACTCCAAACAGAAACCGAGTTATATCAACACTGAGTTGAGAATCTCAACTCATTGTTTTAAAAACACTGAGTGGAGATTCTCACTTCGTCAACAATATCATTAAAATAATGATTGTCCCACTCATAAGAGCGAAGAAAGATTATCAAAACAACAAATACATTGGAAATAATGTACTTACTTGACAGAGTCAAAGGAAGCAGTTCTCCCGATTCATTTGCTCATTCTGATGTGCCAAAAACATTCATTATGAAAAGTAACGAAGTGAAAATTAATTAAAGTGAGAATTATAAATAAATTAGAATTATAATTAAATTTACACAGCAATACAATAAGAATAAAAATAATTTAAAGAAGCTTCAAACTGCTGTGCAGGACATTCAAGTCAGTCAAAAACTGTTAGAAGAATACCTTTCGAGTATAGGCTGGACATAAAATCAAAACATATAATATGTCATAAGCTATAAGTTAATGAATATGGTACAGTGAGATATAACATTAAACTTTGGGTATATGAAGGTAACCATTAAATTTAAAATGATACGAAAATTACATAGATACCCACTTGGCACTTTTATATTTGTTGTCAGAATTATGTACAAAGAAGTATATAACCATAGAGTGAAAAATGGCAACCGGTCAGACGTAAACGGATAAAGTAGAGAGACATATGTCATACAGTTCTATACTTCTTTAATTAAATTAAAATGAGGTAGGCAGTCATAGACTTGCGGCTTAGTTTGGTCAGTAAAACACAGGGGACCCTGCTACTTAACAAAAACTCCGAAACACAGAGTAAAATCAAAGATCAAGTGAATAGCAATACTGCTAGAACATGCTATGTGCTGTACTTACTTACTTTACTTGCTTTTGAACGAATTCTTTGCAAAAATGATATTTGTGCCCAGCTTTAATTTAACCAAGCAGCTGAACTTTAAGATAGGTCATAAGCTGAGCGATAGATTTGAAAACTTAAGTGATTTGTAATTGCCAATTTACATTAGCAAGGCCCTATCATGTAATTACAGTGTATAATCAAGCACAGAAAATATTCCACTTTAAACAGTTTGATAACATAAAAAGAAACTTCAAGTAGATAATTGCAATAAAATAGTGGACAACTCTTGGTTTCAAGCGTTTCAAACAAAACGTTTATGAAATCAACCAGAAATTAACAGTGAAGAAGCGAATAATGTGCGCATAGCGCTCGATTTCTATCGTCGATTCGATTTTTTTCATGCGTATGACGAGTGCGCGGCGTAAAAATCGCAATCTTGATGAACGCTGAGCTAACATTGCTACACGGTGGATAAAAATTATTTACATCTTGACTAAAACATTGATATATAATTTTGTACAATCGGAGAAAAAAAATTCTGTGCTCGCGCTTGGCGCTTATTACACTAACTACTACCCTGATCATGCTATTATGAATCATAATACCACGTTAAATTTGTCGATATTGAAACCACTCAGTTTACCGGATACCTCGAACACACCCACTTGATCAGTTGATGAGAACTCTATCGTAACTGCTTTGAAGGAACTAGTTGGAACTTCCTCGATCTCCACTAGGACACCCTTCTCGTAAAGCTTGTGGGCACTGTATCGTGCAGTTTTCCGCCTGTCTCCCTTCTTGGACTTTTTCATGCTACCCTGATCATGCTATTATGATGAGCCGAAATCATTGTTATGATATCCGGCCAAGCACCTCCTAAGGGGCCATCTACTTAGGACGTCCGCCAAAATCGCAGATTTTCAGACCACCCCCCTCCCCCTGTCCGAATTTTCAAAACCACCCCCTCCCCCGGACGTCCGGATTTCCAGCTACTTTTAAGAGTACAAATAAAACCAATTCAAATTCATTGTCAAAGAGTTGAAATAAATGAGACTTTTTCGTTAATTCTGCCAAAATTTCCGGACGCCCCCTCCCTCTGTCCGAAATTCCAAAACCACCCCCTACCCATTTGCCGGACGTCCTAAGTAGATGGCCCCTAAAATACTTACTATTATAGCCAGATATTCGATCAATTCCTTAATTTTATCACAAACAGAGTGATATTGAGTGGAATTTGAATTAAAATATTGTCAAATTGTTATTATTCTAGAGGAAAAAAGAAAATTGTGATTACGTAATCAACGACCAAACCCCCCCCCCCCCCCCCCCCGTAATCAACCGTAAGCATTTGGAACCCCCCCCCCCCTCGGCGGATTACGTAATATGTGAACGACCCTTTGTTGAGATTGATTCTGTCAATCATAAATTTAGATACTTTTTGAACTATAAGTTAGAAAAACAGTATATTTCATGGTAGAAAGTTAGAATTCCATTCTCCAGAATCACATTTATACCAATTGCTAGGAAAGTACGGCTTTTCGCCCTTATTAACTGAGTAAAAAAACAAAACATGTCACAAAATAGAAACATCGCCTTCACAGATTGGTAATTCAATCTCATTGAAAGTTCTATTAAATTACTATTAAACTATTGCTATTAGATTGAATTATTATTAAGATCTAAATCAAAGGAAACTAACATCATTCATTCTAACACCAGTTGTTGTTCCGTGACCGCATTGTCGATCAAAATGTTCAGACGTTGAATGTTAAATGAGAAATAAAATTGATTAATCTGTGACGCTATGAAACTCGCACATTATCGCACGTTTGTCAACAAACTCTATGCACCATGACTGATAGGCGACGTCTCTTGCATGCAGCTCAACATATCAAAACTCAAACTCGGATTGGGTCATACTATTGATGCCTCTCATGATGTTAAAACCGAGTTAAAGTTTGTGTTAGACTAAAAATCAAGTAGATTTGAGAGACTCGCGTCTGCTCACGTCTGCTCACGTAGGCTCATGGTAGACTCCGTAGAACTTCTTGTTGAGAAAGGATATGAGAAGCTTCACGTTGAATACCACCCCGGAGGCCTCGAACTTTAACGTGGACACTCTTTCGTATTGAAGCTAGGAGAAATGTCACATTTAGAAGGAATAGATTTATAAAATGTATGCAAGTTTCGGGCGCCCAATTTTACTCAATTTGAGCTCCGCCCCAACAGATTTAAAAAATGAACAACAGCCGGAAGAGATTAGTCTGCAATTGTCATAACTCCATCTATAATATCATAAAGTATATGGAACTTAAATTGATGGAAAACTCTGGTACCTGTAGCAAGTTTTCGAAAACCACGTACCTGTAGCAAGTTTTCGAAGACCACGTTAAATTTGTCGATATTGAAACCACTCAGTTTACCGGATACCTCGAACACACCCACTTGATCAGTTGATGAGAACTCTATCGTAACTGCTTTGAAGGAACTAGTTGGAACTTTCTCGATCTCCACTAGGACACCCTTCTCGTAAAGCTTGTGGGCACTGTATCGTGCAGTTTTCCGCCTGTCTCCCTTCTTGGACTTTTTCATGCTACCCTGATCATGCTATTACGATGAGCCGAAATCATTGTTATGATATCCGGCCAAGCACCTTCTAAGGGGCCATCTACTTAGGACGTCCGCCAAAATCGCAGATTTTCAGACCACCCCCCTCCCCCTGTCCGAATTTTCAAAACCCCCCTCCCCCGGACGTCCGGATTTCCAGCTACTTTTAAGAGTGCAAATAAAACCAACTCAAATTCATTGTCAAAGAGTTGAAATAAATGAGACTTTTTCGTTAATTCTGCCAAAATTTCCGGACGCCCCCCTCCCTCTGTCCGAAATTCCAAAACCACCCCCTACCCATTTGCCGGACGTCCTAAGTAGATGGCCCCTAAAATACTTACTATTATAGCCAGATATTCGATCAATTCCTAAATTTTATCACTAACAGAGTGATATTGAGTGGAATTTGAATTAAAATATTGTCAAATTGTTATTATTCTAGAGGTAAAAAAGAAAATTGTGATTACGTAATCAACGACCAAACCCCCCCCCCCCCCCCCCCCGTATATATAGTAATCAACCGACCGAAGCATTTGGAACCCCCCCCCCTCGGCTGATTACGTAATATGTGAACGACCCCTTATTGAGATTGATTCTGTCAATCATAATTGTAGATACTTTTTGAACTATAAGTTAGAAAAACAATATATTTCATGGTAGAAAGTTAGAATTCCATTCTCCAGAATCACATTTATACCAATTGCTAGGAAAGTACGGCTTTTCGCCCTTATTAACTGAGTAAAAAAACAAAACATGTCACAAAATAGAAACATCACCTTCACAGATTGGTAATTCAATCTCATCGAAAGTTTTATTAAATTACTATTAAACTATTGCTATTACAGTTTTACGTTCAACCATTCGCTGATAACAAAATTATTATTAAGATCTAAATCAAAGGAAACTAACATCATTCATTCTAACACCAGTTGTTGTTCCGTGACCGCATTGTCGATCAAAATGTTCAGACGTTGAATGTTAAATGAGAAATAAAATTGATTAATCTGTGACGCTATGAAACTCGCACATTATCGCACGTTTGTCAACAAACTCTATGCACCATGACTGATAGCCGACGTCTCTTGCATGCAGCTCAACATATCAAAACTCAACTCGGATCGGGTCATACTATTGATGCCTCTCATGATGTTAAAACCGAGTTAAAGTTTGTGTTAGACTAAAAATCAAGTAGATTTGAGAGACTCGCGTCTGCTCGTGTAGCGGGTTACTCCACTCCGTAGAACTTCTTGTTGAGAAGGAATATGAGAAGGTTCACGTTGATTACCACCCCGGAGTCCTCGAACTTTAACGTGGACACTCCTTCGTATTGAAGCTAGGAGAAATGTCACATTTAGAAGGAATAGATTCATAAAATGTATGCAAGTTTCGGGCGCCCAACTTTACTCAATTTGAACTCCGCCCCAACAGATTTAAAAAATGAACAACAGCCGGAAGAGATTAGTTTGCAATTGTCATAGCTCCATCTATATCATAAAGTATATGGAACTTAAATTGATGGAAAACTCTGATACCTGTAGCAAGTTTTCGAAGACCACGTACCTGTAGCAAGTTTTCGAAGACCACGTTGATTTTGTCGATATTGAAACCACTCAGTTTACCGGATACCTCGAACACACCCACTTGATCAGTTGATGAGAACTCTATCGTAACTGCTTTGAAGGAACTAGTTGGAACTTTCTCGATCTCCACTAGGACCCCCTTCTCGTAAAGCTTGTGGGCACTGTATCGTGCAGTTTTCCGCCTGTCTCCCTTCTTGGACTTGCCACCCTTCGACAGGTTGTTCACACACGCTTTCACATATTCTTGATAGTAGGTAACCTGAAAAAACAAAAGTTACTGTTTCTGATTTACTCCTGGTAATTGTTGGTCAGGCTCACACGAATTTATATGTTAGGACGTTGTAGAAATGGCGTTTATATCGTTACCACAACAGAATCTCTTGAACAACTTACGGCTTCACCGTAGTATTTTTTCTTTTTGCTCATACGTTCCACCGTTTCTCCAATCTTTTTCAAATCTTGTTTTCTTCGTTGTCTAAGGGGAGATAATAAATGTTTTACGTGGGGAGGCAGTGTGTTTTGGATTAAAAATTAAAATGAACTATGAAGGCACCTAGTGTTTACTGCCAATCAGTTGGCCGAAAATGTTCATTTATTGCTATAAAGAAATTTTCATTGAATACCTAAATATGATTGACTTTGTAAAATTCAAAGATGTAGATATCAGTTTTCGTTATTACCTGTATTTCCGCTGGTTGCAGATGTCCTTTGCGATGGACGTCAGTATTTCTTGGTAATCTTCAGTAGGAGTTACTAGTTTGTGTTGTTCTAAAATTGTCAAATTCCTGAAAAATAACACATCATATTTTCCAATATGACAAAATATGTCATTCACAGGGTTAATGATATGCAGCAAGCAGATAAGGGATGAACAACAAAAAACTGTTGGCATTTTGAGCTATTTAATGATTTTACAAAATAAGAAAGAACAGGGGGTAAGAACAGGAATAAAATAAGTTAAAACAAACTTGAGGATATGCTCTTTGAGTTTCTTGATGGTATTATCATTGGGGTCAAATAGAGCCATTTTACTGTTTTTTTCCTCTTCGTTCGTTTTCTCATTTTCTGCAGCTAACCGTCTGCTGTGTATCGCTTTGTACAACTCCTGAGTACAATAAAATGAAGCCGTTTATAACAATAATTCGTTTCCCACATGATATTGAACTCTCTGTGGGCGTCTATACGGCGAACCTATATTAATTAATACTTTCAACACTACTATGTACATAACAAATAATTTGAGGAAGCGATGTAACAGAACCAATATATTTAAAGTCCCAATTCATCGCAGCCCGCTAGTTTTACTGCCTCATAAACACTCGGCCGATCTGTAGTCCGTCTTTGTAACAAGTTCTCAAAGAATGTCAAAAATGTGATGGTGAACCGGAGCGAGGTTGTGTTTTGATTGATGATGATTGTTCGCGGGTTCGTGTGATCAGTGAATTGCACTTGATATCAGTGGTTGCAGGAATTCAGTCACGCAGCAGGCCAGTGTTGCAAAAATGGGATCAACTAGCACGGTATGAAGTGCTAGCTAGAAGACACGTACTGCAGTGCGAGATGGAGTCTTCGGTCCTAACTAAGCGGCGCGCAACGCATCTCGTAATCAATTACGTGACGAGTTACGTGCTATGGTTCATGCAACACATTTCCAATAAATGATGGTAAAACAAAATGAATGCAGAGAGCAATAAAGATGTAACCTGTTGCTGCTTGTTGGCATCTGTATGAAGGATTGCGGTGAAAGTCTCTCCTCGTTGTATCTTCAACAGGTCAACTATCAGGTACTTGGTTTTGCTGAACAGGGCCTGAATATTGCTTTCATCGCTCATGTTGAGTTCCCACTTGTTGGTGAGAACCAGTCCAAACTCTGTGCTCTTGTCTCCCAGCATGGCCTCGTCCTCTGGAATAGGACCGAGCGAGGCTAGCACTTCGTTCATAGGATCATCGTCTGCTTCAGTCACCTGTCAGGGATCACATGTCAGTACCAAGTTGAACAATTGGATAAATAAATAGGTGTGTGAGAATACGATACAAGTTTCTTAAACCTAAGCTATTATCTGATGAGCAGTTAATTGTGAGCATTCCTATTTACTATTTGTGGATTTTGAAATTAGTTTAACTTATATTTGTTCACTAACCTGTTTCTGATGGTCCAGCAACAGCTGGTGGGTGCTGTTTATCTCACTCGGAGAAATGAATATCATAGGCTTGTTCAACATCGTCACATCACTGAATTCATCCATGTTGAAGTGCTCGTCGATATCAGATATCGTGCTTGCTGCGTCGAAGAACTCCATGAATTTAATGTAGGCTGTTTTGATGAAGGAGTTCAGGGAAGCCAGGTATCTGTAAATAATATGACTGGTTCGTGTCAGGAAACAAATAAGATATCATGGTATGGTTATAAGTAGACATGTCCATCCAGTATATTCTGCCCCGCTATGTCAATGTCAAGGAACCACACAGCCGAAAAGAAAATTGTCCAAAAACGAGAATAGGTACAAGATACAAAAGTTGACTCCAATCAACATATTATACCAGTTATACCTGGCATCGCTGTCGAATATCTTAAAACTGGCTGCGTGTTGTAATATCTTAGCGATAGAGCCAAGATTCCGTCTTTGAACATTGTTCATGTTGGACCCTGCTCCTAATTCAATAACTTCAAAAGAGTCTGGGGCTGTAATCACGGGATTCATGTATCTGTAGTACAACAAGTTTCCTGAAATTGGGATAATATATCAAAATAATGTTATGTCGATAGTATCATCATTAATCATATCTCATTTGAATGTCTATATGAAAAGAAGAGCACGATTAAATAAGCTTAAGGTGGAACATACCGACTGCTTTCAAGATTTCTTCCTCGGAGGATTCTGGGAACTTTTCTTTGAGATTTTTCCGAAGGCACATAGCCATGTACCGAATTCCGTACGGCATCTGGTCGACTGTTCCGATTATCTTCTCCTGAAAAAAAAAGCATAACATGAAGATCAATAGTTTTTGTAAGCAAATAGGTAATATGAACGTCTTCGTTGTTTGATGTTTGAACTGAAGCAAATTGGCGGGAATGTTTATTGTCACGATCTGATGTGCTATGTATTTTGAAAAGCTCAAGGCACGACGTGACATTGGAAAATTTGAACTACTTGGTGAAAGAATACTATTCTCATTTTCTGCCAACTCTTGTGTTGTGTGTTGACACTTTACAGTTCGCAGTTGGCTTATAAGGTCATCGTGAGATCGAATGTACAGCAGGCTGCCATGATAATTGGCAGTTGGCACGTTCGAAATTGCGTGTGTTTTTCGATACCAGCTTTGTATTGTGTTCACAATCTATGATGTAGACTGTTAAATTAAAGGGTCGATCTCGAATATGGTTAACTTGACGTAGGAGTAAGCGGGGATGATTGCACGCGCGGGTCTCTTTTTCGAATGTACACGAAGTGCGCGCATCGACCTGAAGAAATTAAATTCAAAAGCGCGCCATCTTCCCGCACGTATTACAATCATTACTTTCGCGCATTCCATAAAGTCACAGCTTACTTAATATCAGCCACAGACCGATTTAAATTTTCGTATGAAAGTGTAAACTGTAAAACAGGAGGCAGTTTACAGAATGATGAACATGTTCGAAGAGGAAGTAGAAGTTAAATCTAACTTTATCATCATTGTTGTGCTAATATAAACTATATGTGTGTACAGCAAGCTGCCAAAAATATCCAACAGAAAACTGATTACCTACAAGTAGTCAAGTCTGTTTACAGTCACGAGCAGCATATGGAAAGAAGTAATTTCTTTATTTAGCAACCATTTATAGTTTGAACTTTGAAGTCACAGGCTTAAAGAGGGTAGGAACGGCTTCTTTGTATACGCTTGGTTACCCTCTTTATAAATAATGAGCACAGTTTGAATTGGATATATACGGACACATGTCATCAAATGTAATGATCGTCTTAGTTGCATACATTATGCAAACATTATAACAGTCAATGTATATTGGCTTGATAAATAACAACACATATTTTATAAGTGTCACTTATTGCAGAACAGATGACAATGTTGGCCAACCGAATATTACATAATCAACTTGACATGTGATAAACAAAGAACTGTCATGAGTCATTCTAATCCCTATAAATAAATATATACAAATAAATAAATGCGAATAAACATATACAAACAAATATACGATAAATAATAATAGACTTGCGGTTCCTTAGTTGTCTCAGATTTACTTTAATTAAGAATCAAGAGACGAGTTGTTACCTTGATAGTTAGTGCATCCCATTAGTAATTAAATGTAAATTAGCTGTTTTAATTGCAAAAACATAAGGACTTATACAGCATGTCACACATTAAGTTACTGACAGATGTCAATATGACGTGCACTTTTGGCTTCTAAAAGTAACGATAAGTTTGACATGTCCCATATTAAATAGCACAGCTTTGATCACTTTTAGATCTTAATAGACTCATGACTTGATTGTATACATACTCTACGGTTTTGCATATTTTTTAACACACGAAATATTTTACTCCAACTAAATTTTGCCGGTTAACATTAGTAAAAGGTTTCGGACTGTAAATTTTCTTATCGTAGGAATGTAGGTTTTATCTGTAAAAAGTATTGAATAACTTGATAAGATTCTGGTGAAGGGTTTCTTGTTCTAGTAAGAAAGAATATTCTCAAGTTGGTAGTTAATTTGAGGTTGAAGATTTTTATAAATGAGAAAAAGCACAATGTCAATACTCTAAATTTTATAAATTGGCAGAACGTTCAGAATTAGACAGCTAAGTACTTTTCTGGTTTAATTATACAGATGAGCATGGCACGATTGTCTGGTTCTCTAGACAACAGATGTGTAATTATCGCCACTGAGAGTTCACAATATAATAAACAAAGTATGTTATTATAAAACGTTTACATAGGCTCTGTAGATTATCTAAGCCTTATAGAATCCTGCCAATTCTAGTACAAAATTTATAAACCAAATCATGATGACATGATCGTAACTGAGGAGCTGTGCAATGTAGTACAGCGAAAAGCAAAAACTTCAATGGATGGTTACCGTAATGGGTGCCACATGCCTAGCATGACATATTTACCTACTTACTTGCACTTGTGTAGGTTTGTAGAAGCATTAGTATCGGGCGTTGCCTGCTACAGGCTATCCCGAAACTAGAAGCTTGCTTTAATATAATCGTAACTCTTAATTATTAATAACTCCGTCTTGACATATCGATCTATATATTATAATCTTCATCAGTTACCTGGAAGGATTTGATGATGGTGACCAGTTTCTTGATGGTGTTCTCAATCTCGTCCGTCACTTCTTTATGTTTCAGTGCCTGAAATAGAATTTAATGACATCTCTTGACGTACACAATTAAATGACCAGGCATCGGAGTCAGCTATTAAATAAATGAGGGGTTGCGGCAAAAATTGAACACTAAATCAACGAAATTTAATGATCACATCGTGTTTGCCGGCAAATTAATATTTCAACTAATAAATGTCCAAGTAAACTAATATCATTACAGCAAAATCCTTTTTAAAGAGTGCACAATTAATTGTTGACAAGGCAAAGGATATCACTATTCACTAAAAATCTACTCTATACTAGCAAAAAATAGACAAGACAAAAAGAGACAAGAGTCCAAAATACGGTTCACAAAAGTTTACCGTTTTATAACACAGTTAACAAAAGGTCACAATCTAGTTAAATAAAACTCCCACCTGTTCAGGAGTAACGTCGTAAGGAAGTTTGGAAGCTTCCCCTGTTTCCATCTCGGTCCGGCTGATCCAGGCTTTGTACACTTCCAGAGGGTGGATGTTCATGTTCAGATCGCTGTCCTCCATTACTTGTTCAATTAGTGGACCCAGCAGCGACCTATCAATGTTACATCATTACTACAGTAAAACCTTACTTATCTCTACCATTGTGGTAAATCAGATACTCGAACTGTAATTTCTTGAATTCAAGCACTTAATGTGCACTGCCTCTCCACTGAAAGCCATTATTGTCTGTCTATAAACAAGCCCGTGTGTCGCCTCCACGGCTCCACCACAACAGAATCTCATTATCCAATGCAAGTGTTGGGAGTATTATAGTAGCCGTGTTTGACAACCTGCTGCTTCATCTTAATTCTTCAATGTACTGAGCGCCATATATTTAGGAAGCCAACTGATACTTACAGTGAATCAAAACTCTCAATGTCATAGTAATTATTCTCGCGGCTCATGTAATTGACATACCCAAATATATACAAAACCCATATAGTACTCACTCGTAGTAGTAGTTAACATATTATCATACAACTTAAAAAATGAGACTAGAAATGGCTCTTAAAAGAGTGATAACATTAAGGATTTGCATAAAGTATGTAAGCATGTAGAATGTGTACATTAGTAAACAGAAATATTTGATTACACTGCTACTTTTTTTTGGGATCTATACTCAGATGAAAGACTTAAATTCCAGAACCTACACTTCTGATTTCTCAGTGATTACAACCTTCAAATTGGGACATGATAATCATGTAGGTAACAGGAAGCTAGCCGTACAACAAATTGCTCACTTCTCATTTTAATATTGTGTATTTTATCTTATCGCAATATTGTTATCGCTAATGAGTTCTCTCAAATTTCCAAACACTACCGTGCTGACTCCACTAAAGTTTACCTCCTAAGGGGCCATCTACTTAGGACGTCCGCCAAAATCGCATATTTTCGGACCACCCCGCTCCCCCTGTCCGGGTGTGTCCGAATTTTCAAAACCACCCCCTCCCCCGGACGTCGGGATTTCCAGCTACTTTTAAGAGTAAAAATAAAACCAACTCAAATTCATTGTTAATAAAATGTGTAGTTACTTAAATAGACAATAATACATTTTGTGTCGAACAAGTTAAACACAGTTACATTTAAGTACTTAAGTAGCCATCCAATCGAATAAGTTTTAAAGGCAGTAGGAGATAAGGAGAATATGCAAGTTGTGTCTCGTCTCTCATAAGCTGCTCTGGGAATCGAATATACAGGGATCTAAGAAACCACCCCCTCTCGCCCTGTCCGGATTTGTCCGAAATTCCAAAACCACCCCCTCCCTATTTGCCGGACGTCCTAAGTAGATGGCCCCTAACACTTTGTGTAATCATGCCACATGATACTTCTCAAATGTCACATTAAGGCACCAAATTGACGCACCCGGTCCCTCCAGTGCCAGCAGTGTACCTCACAGCCACACCTAGTATTACAGGTAATGTTATACCCTGCAACACTGCAACACTGTGTATAACACAATAATAACTGTGGGCATGTCATAACCGGACTAACTCTTTATTTGATTAATTTATTTAATTACTTCATTTAATTACTTTACTTAGTTTCTTTATTTAATAACTTTATTCAGTATCTTTATTTAATTATTTTATTTAATCACTATTATTAACATATGTTGGATATAAGAAAGACCTAGTCTCAACATCCAGCTACTTTTTCCAATATTGTGTCAGATCTACATATCAGATCTGATCCCTGAAAGATATCAAGGCAGCAGGATTGTGGTAAGATAGTGGAAAGAACAGCAATGCTAAGAACTTCCAATTTTGCGGATTCTTTTTCATAGTCCATGAGAGAACATTGTTATTTGCATACCTGGCAGGTTTCCAGTGCCAGTTCGACTATTGAGCGGTAGCAATGACTTTTACTAATGACTTTTACTAGTTTCCTTGGATAAGAGACGCTAAGCCTGTAATTATGAAGCACTAGTGTAACCCGTGCCTACGGCCGGGACTTCACTATCGCAGTGGAAATGCAAAAGTATAAACCCGCCAATTATATTCGAAAACACGCATTACATTTTCGTAGTTAAAAAGGTGCGAAAGTATGAACTCGCTCATTCCAAACAGACCACAATTTAATTCTGAGTGCACCTCACGTATCTGATAGTAATAATTGATAGGCAATCTTTACTCTTGAGTTCCCTGCCAAATTACCTAATTTTATAGCAAATCTATTATGAGGGCAGAGAGAGAGAGAGAGAGAGAGAGAGAGAGAGAGAGAGAGAGAGAGAGAGAGAGAGAGTGAGAGTGGGAGAGTGGGAGAGTACACACACACACACACACACACGTTAGTATCACATTTGGGTCACAAAATGATCAACCACTTATCACCGACCGATTTAAAAAACCTTTATCATTTGGCTTCGTTGGAGTTTTCTCTGCACTATACCGAAAAAACCAGCCCCGTAACTCTTACCGTTTTCTTGATTAAGCCGTTCGGAAATTTCCCACAGACAGACACACAGACAGACACACAGGCAGACACACAGACAGACAGACAGACAGACAGTCAGACACACACACACACACACACACACACACACACACACACACACACACACACACACACACACACACACACACACACACACATCTTGAGATTATTAGTATTGATTCCTTTACATGTCCACAATGCGGTTAACGTCCATCTGGGATCGTTCACAGTTCACAGTTCACAGTTCACACATTACTACCGCTCTATTTAAATAGCTTCAGAAGTAGAGTGCAGTTTTAAAGTTGGGATGTTAGGCTCTGATAAATTCTTATTAACATATGAATGAGACGATTTTCTTGGAAAAGTTACATTTTATAAATAATGTGATAAAGACGTCTTTCTGGGAGAAGATACATTTCAAGATTAATTTCCAAAAAGGTTAATTTCAAGATTAATTTCCAAAGAGTATTTAGAGTATGCATCTTTTTCCATGATCTAAAAGTGTTTTTCATTGTGTGGCCGAACTCCAAAACATTTGTGCCAGTGCAATCTATACTACGGTGTAGATATATACGAACACTTAAAGTTTCTGGGTTTGCATATTGTTATCTATCAACAAGGTTGAAATTCCAACAATACTGTCTACCTTATTATGCTTATTATTCGCATACCGCACAAGCATGTAGTGTACATTCGTTCAGCATCTCAGCTATACATACCTTACAGCGTTCTCTATGGTATGGGAATTTCAAACCCTTGTTGACAATTATCTGGGAAACATATTATAAATATATATGTAACTGTTTTCTCGGTGCATTGCCATGTCTGACACCCAAAACCTCCCACAATGGTCAAATTAGTTCCCACGGTCATGTGATGCGCACTACCTCCATCTCGTGTAGTGACATGGCAACCTTACCAATCCTATGTATTAACTCGCTAACACAAGGATGCCATATTGCGCAATGAGTTCACATTGTACTTGTTGAATAGAATGTAATCAAATTTCAGAGGAATGTATTTAAGATATAGTGAGTAGTGTAGCTCCCACCTGGACCCCACCTGGCCTGATACAAGACCTTCTAGAATATTCATTATAGGGTCCTGGAATATTCATGTTAAAATTTCTGGATAGCCCCTAAATTTACCATGTTCCAGAACATTCACAATTATTTCTAATTCCGGCATCTCTTACTTTCCAGTTTCCACAGATGAGTGTGAAAATTTGACAATTCTCGTGAAAAATGTAAGCACTCACCTGGATTACTAATAATTATGACATGCTAAAGATTGGAATATCAAATTTCAAGTTGTCATAAATGAGGGACTCAGTTGCAGATTAGTGAATCTGACACTATGGTAGGGCATTTTATATATTTTGTAACGCTGAACTTAAATAAACATTAATATTATACAGTTTTAAACTAATCACAGCACTACAAGTCTGCTAAATTTATTAAGGACGTTACAGAAGGAATATTTTAATGTAGTCCGAGGAGTCCTCACTCTCATCACGTCTTAAGATGGCGTTTCTCTTGTTGCATAAATGATAACGATAACCTGCTCTCAGCTCCGTTACATTATTCATATCGTGACACATACAGTATGCTGTACCTTGGTAGGGCCTATCTTGGTATGATGGTACCTCGGTCACCTGGAAACTGAATAATTTATAACAATAATTGGAACGACCTAGATTAGCACGTCTAATACCGAATAATAGACGAAGTAAAAGCGGTGAGGAGTGTTACTAACACTGAAGAATGGCGGCCTCCTTGCATCTTACTAAACTCACCTGTGCGAACATAACATAGTTTACCTTCTGTACAATAAACATCGTGATCAATTCTGACAGCTATGATTGATAACCAATTATACTTTACAGCGTCCGATAATCATGTACACCATGGTGACCATTGCATTATAAGGAACCGAATACAAATTCCAGTACACACCACATACCTTGCAAACTGAATACTTAAGATACTTGAGAGATAGAGGGAGCACCCTCTATACCAGGCTAAATGCCACCACGCTGTTTGGTTACTAACAGAATACTTGAGAGATAGAGGGAGCACCCTCTATACCAGGCTAAATGCCACCAGGCTGTTTGGTTACTAACAGAATACTTGAGATACTTGTGAGATAGAGGGAGCACCCTCTATACCAGGTAAAATGCCACCACGCTGTTTGGTTACTAACAGAATACTTGAGAGATAGAGGGAGCACCCTCTATACCAGGCTAAATGCCACCAGGCTGTTTGGTTACTAACAGAATACTTGAGAAATAGAGGGAGCACCCTTTATACCAGGTAAAATGCCACCACGCTGTTTGGTTACTAACAGAATACTTGAGAGATAGAGGGAGCACCCTCTATACCAGGCTAAATGCCACCAGGCTGTTTGGTTACTAACAGAATACTTGAGAGATAGAGGGAGCACCCTTTATACCAGGTAAAATGCCACCACGCTGTTTGGTTACTAACAGAATACTTGAGAGATAGAGGGAGCACCCTCTATACCAGGTAAAATGCCACCACGCTGTTTGGTTACTAACAGAATACTTGAGAGATACGGGAGCACCCTCTATACCAGGCTAAATGCCACCAGGCTGTTTGG